AGTGATATTTGGTAGCTCTGTGGTGATATTTGGTAGCACTGTGGTGATATTTGGTAGCTCTGTGGTGATATTTGGTAACTCTGTGGTGATATTTGGTCGCTCTGTGGTGATATTTGGTAACCCTGTGGTGATATTTGGTAGCCCTGTGGTGATGTTTGGTAGCTCTGTGGTGATATTTGGTAGCTCTGTGGTGATATTTGGTAGCTCTGTGCTGATATTTGAAGCTCTGTGGTGATATTTGGTAGCTCTGTGGTGATATTTGGTAGCCCTGTGGTGATATTTGGTAGCCCTGTGGTGATATTTGGTAGTCCTGTGGTGATATTTGGTAGCCCTGTGGTGATATTTAGTAGCCTTGTGGTGATATTTGGTAGCCCTGTGGTGATATTTGGTAGCCCTCTGGTGATATTTGTTAGCACTGTCGTGATATTTGGTAGCTCTGTGGTGATATTTGGTAACTATGTGGTGATATTTGGTAGCTCTGTGGTAATATTTGGTCGCTCTGTGGTGATATTTGGTAACCCTGTGGTGATATTTGGTAGCTCTGTGCTGATATTTGAAGCTCTGTGGTGATATTTGGTAACTCTGTGGTGATATTTGGTAGCCCTGTGGTGATATTTGGTAGCCCTGTGGTGATATTTGGTAGTCCTGTGGTGATATTTGGTAGCCCTGTGGTGATATTTAGTAGCCTTGTGGTGATATTTGGTAGCCCTGTGGTGATATTTGGTAGCCCTGTGGTGATATTTGGTAGCACTGTCGTGATATTTGGTAGCTCTGTGGTGATATTTGGTAACTATGTGGTGATATTTGGTAGCTCTGTGGTAATATTTGGTCGCTCTGTGGTGATATTTGGTAACCCTGTGGTGATATTTGGTAGCCCTGTGGTGATATTTGGTAGCTCTGTGCTGATATTTGAAGCTCTGTGGTGATATTTGGTAACCCTTTGATATTTGGTCGCTCTGTGGTGATATTTGGTAGCTCTGTGGTGATATTTGGTCGCTCTGTGGTGATATTTGGTAACCCTGTGGTGATATTTGGTAGCCCTGTGGTGATATTTGGTAGCCCTGTGGTGATATTTGGTAGCTCTGTGGTGATATTTGGTAACCCTGTGGTGATATTTGGTAGCTCTCTGGTGATATTTGGTAGCTCTGGTGATATTTGGTAGCCCTGTGGTGATTTTTGGTAGCCCTGTGGTGATATTTGGTAGTCCTGTGGTGATATTTGGTAGCCCTGTGGTGATATTTGGTAGCCCTGTGGTGATATTTGGTAGCCTTGTGGTGATATTTGGTAGCCCTGTGGTGATATTTGGTAGCCCTGTGGTGATATTTGGTAGCACTGTCATGATATTTGGTAGCTCTGTGGTGATATTTGGTAACTCTGTGGTGATATTTGGTAGCTCTGGTAATATTTGGTCGCTCTGTGGTGATATTTGGTAACCCTGTGGTGATATTTGGTAGCCCTGTGGTGATATTTGGTAGCTCTGTGCTGATATTTGAAGCTCTGTGGTGATATTTGGTAACCCTTTGATATTTGAAGCTCTGTGGTGATATTTGGTAACTCTGTGGTGATATTTGGTAGCTCTGTGGTGATATTTGGTAACTCTGTGGTGATATTTGGTAGCTCTGTGGTGATATTTGGTCACTCTGTGGTGATATTTGGTAGCTCTGTGGTGATATTTGGTAGCTCTGTGGTGATATTTGGTAGCTCTGTGTTGATATTGTGTAGCCCTGTGGTGATATTTGGTAACTCTGTGGTGATATTTGAAGCTCTATGGCGATATTTGGTAGCCCTGTGGTGATTTTTGTAGCCCTCTGGTGATATTTGGTAGTCCTGTGGTGATATTTGGTAGCCCTGTGGTGATATTTGGTAGCTCTGTGGTGATATTTGAAGCTCTGTGGTGATATTTGGTAGCCCTGTGGTGATATTTGGTAGCTCTGGTGATATTTGGTAGCCCTGTGGTGATATTTGGTAGCACTGTGGTGATATTTGGTAGCTCTGGTGATATTTGGTCGCTCTGTGGTGATATTTGGTAACTCTGTGGTGATATTTGGTAGCCCTGTGGTGATATTTGGTAGCCCTTTGGTGATATTTGGTAGCCCTGTGGTGATATTTGGTAGCCCTGTGGTGATATTTGGTAGCTCTCTGGTGATGTTTGGCAGCCCTGTGGTGATATTTGGTAGCTCTCTGGTAATATTTGGTAACTCTCTGGTGATATTTGGTAGCCCTGTGGTGATATTTGGTAACCCTGTGGTGATATTTGGTAACTCTGTGGTGATATTTGGTAGCTCTGGTCTGCTCCGTGAGAGAACGGAAGCTTCGTCTCTCGCGAATGCGAGAGACAACGTCGTTGGGAAACTAAGCCCTGGGGAGGACCCAAGCCGATGGGCCACACTCGCTCCTCTGGCTGCCTGGCTGGGCTTTGCCACGCGTACCATCGCGCCGCCGCTGCCCGCCGATTGGTGGTCACGGCATGACGCAGGACGACCGACTGCGTGCGTGCGCTCAGCCCGTGCGGCAACGTTGCCGCGCGTGTGCCGGGCGCCGTAAATCCGGCGCGGCGACGCAGCGCGACCGTTGCGGATTACAATCTTAATCATAGGCGAGGCCGGGATTGAGTGGCGGTGGCAGCGGCGGCGGTGGTGATGAATGGGGGGGTAGGGGATTGCTCCTGTCCCCCCGCCTCCGCCCCCCGCCTCCCCCCCCTCCACGCTCTCCCGCTAACGACGTGCCCAGATTAGATCTGTAATGAGGCGGGATCCGTCGCGTGTGCATGGGTATAGATTTTAATTCCAGATGGGTGCTCGCCCCCTCCTCCCCCCCCGCCGTAGGAGTGGGGGTGGGGGGCATGAGGCTTGGGCTTCCCGCGGCGAGCGACCGGCGCCAGGTTGGCCTCGCACGTGGCAGCCCGTATTCGTCTTGCTTGTAATGAGGTGTAATGATTCCGCATCAGTCATCTACGCGACGCCCGGCGAGCGGCTCTGCGGAGAGAGGGAGCCGCCGCTGCGTACGGCGCGAGCGAGCGAGCGATTATCGCGACGCCGCTAGACATTGCCGAAGCGCAAGGAGAGTGGCGATTATCGTGTCCCAACGCCCCCCCCTCCTCCACCCCCACCCCCAGCAGCGATTTGTTGAATCGGGGTCGTGATCCGAGTCCTTTTATTTAGAATAGTTTTTGTTCCGTTGCACCCCCAATGTGACGATCGTTAAGCGAGCGGCGCTCCGCCATGGAACCCGGCTCACCCCCAGGTTCACTTCCTGGCCACGTCCGGGAACTCGGATGAGCGGCCGGTCCTCTCTGTGAACCGGTCCTGCCGGGCGTACACCAGCGACCCCCTCCAGCCCGCCACCGGCCAGCGTCTTGTCGAATAGCCCCGGACATTGGTCCACCGGCGGATTGATGAAGGTCTGGAAATTACGAACGAGCTTCGGCACGTAATGTGCGTGCAGATTAACTAATTAATAATTGCCCGAGTGCACGATTTGATTGGCTCGTGGGCGAGCGCACGAATGTTAATTGATGCGTTGTTACGCGCGCGTGCACGCGCAGAGCGTTGCCGCGGAGGATGTTAAACACGCCGGCCTCCTCGTTATCATTCACGGCGGTGGCCCACAGCGACCAATTTGAAGTCTTCCCCCCCCCCCCCCCCCGCTAAACGGGCGCGGCCCCTCCTTCATCGACTGCCGCTGGGGCCTCGAAAGCGGAGGAGGAGAGCGAGAGAGACGCTGGCCGGCTCGCTGGCCGGCTCGCTGGCCGGCTCGCTGGCCGGCTCGCTGGCCGGCTCGCTGGCCGGCTCGCTGGCCGGCTCGCTGGCCGGCTCGCTGGCCGGCTCGCTGGCCGGCTCGCTGGCCGGCTCGCTGGCCGGCTCGCTGGCCGGCTCGCTGGCCGGCTCGCTGGCCGGCTCGCTGGCCGGCTCGCTGGCCGGCTCGCTGGCCGGCTCGCTGGCCGGCTCGCTGGCCGGCTCGCTGGCCGGCTCGCTGGCCGGCTCGCTGGCCGGCTCGCTGGCCGGCTCGCTGGCCGGCTCGCTGGCCGGCTCGCTGGCCGGCTCGCTGGCCGGCGTGGAAGCGGTGACGTGAGGGATGCCGAGAGCCGAGTGTCAGGAGGCCGAATCGACTGAGAGCTCGAAGTGGCAGCAGCAGCATTGACAAGCTAAGGCCAGCCTCCTCTGCACGAGCAGTAATAGCCACAGGGGTAGCGGTAGTAGCAGTAGCAGAAGCAGCAGGGGCAGCAATGTAGCAGTGGCAGCAGGTGAAGTGGTTACCTGTGCAGTGCCTGGGGTTAGCGAGTCACCCGAGGAAGGGGTTGCCAGGTGGGAGCGGTGGCTTGTGCCGTGGGGGTGGGCCTGGCGAGTCCGCCTTAATGGCGAAGCTGCGTATCTCTCGACGCGTGTATTGCTCCGTTGGTGACGGTGTGCAGACGGCACTGCCGGTGGTTCATGCCTCCGCGCAGCCGAGTGTGGGGTCAGTGGGCGGAGTCTTATCAGCGGCGAGCAACGCGGGGCCTCTGGGTTGTAAGCGGGAGAGAGCGGTGAGACGCGCGCGTGGAATCCCACCGAGAGAGTGGCCTGACAAAAGGGAGCGCGTGGACGACGGAGCACGTGGTGCGCGGGCCAGAGGCCTAACTTTGGCCGCTGGGTAACGTTACGTTGGCTCGGGCAGGACGCAACGTCGGCGGTCGAGGCCGGCGACAGAATGACGGCCGAGAGGGAGGGGAACGCGCCCGGGAGCACGGCCGCCGCGCAGACGGAGCGATGAAATCCGCTCGCGTGCAGGCGGTTGGCGGATCGCGAGAGGTGGCCACGGCTTGGGGGAGGCCTCGATCCGGCAGCAGTGGATAGATCATGGCCCGATGAGGTGCGGTGCGCGCGGCGGGAGGTGCGGGGTGCACGGTGGTGGCCGGGGGGGCGGGGGGGAGTCGGTAAGTGTGTGCCGGCGACTCGTGGTGCCCGATGGCGGCGTGACGACCGCCGTCCCTCCGCTCTCGTCCCCCGTGCTCGCGGCGCCAGCTGCCGCGCTCCAGCTCCGTGCTGAGCCTCTCCACCGCCGAGGCGACCCGGCCACTGGTGCAGCGCTCCAACTCTCTCAGCAGCCGGCGCGATGACGACGAAGAGGAGGAGGAGGAGGAGGACGACGACGACGAGGAGGAGGGGGAGGAGGAGGAGGGGGAGGACGGTGGCGCTGGTGGCGGGAGATCGGAGAGCCCTTCTCGCTGCCGCGCCGCCTCCCTGCGCCCGTTCTCTCCCCGCGCCCCGCCCTCTGCCGCCCGGCCGCCGCCGCCGCCGGCGCCGGCGCCCGGCGCTTCGGGGGAGCCGGGGGACGCGGGGGGGACGCGGGGGGCCCGTCGCCGCGCCTGCCGTTCCGCGTCACCTACGTGTGACGGTGTGCGAACGCGTCAGATCACACCCCCCACCCCCGCGAGGCGCACGGCGAAAGAGCTTCTCAAAGTCCACAGAGTCTCCCGTTCCGCGGGGGGAGGGGGGGGGGCTCTCTGCAATGTCCTGTCGTTACCCTGCAGCCCCCGAGGTTTTTCCTCAGCCTGCGACGGAGCCATCGAAGCTCGTTCGTACGGGGTTGACACGTGGGGTGGGGGGAGACGAGAGATGATAGTTTAATGATTTGGGGGGGTGGAGTGGCGCTGCGGAGGGCTAAGTCTGTCGCGCCTCCAAACAAATCGCCCCGCTCTCGTCACGTGTGTCGGAAGCTCTAAGCAGGGTTAGGCCTGGACAGCGCTCGGATGGGCGACGACGTGGCATGAAAACGCCCCCGATTGGTGTGGTCGGCTACGTACGGTGCGAAAGAAGTTCAGTTCCGCACAGGCGCTGTAGTGCCGCTGCTGCGGCGTCACTCTATTCCTGGCAAGTCGCGCTTGGCAATAGCCTACGCTGCGCCGGCGTGGCGAAGTATGGTCAAACAACACCTAAGACCGACACGGCGTGGTGGGGAGAACCACCCCTCATCCAGCAGTGGATCACCGTAGCTCCCCCGTGTACCATGCGCTTTGGGGGGGGGCGGGGGAGGGGGCGGCAGAGTATTTTGTATCAAGCGTCTGGGCCAAAATGTCACACGGAAGGTTGGCGAAGGATGACCGAAGCCCTCTGTCGTGGGGATGATGGGGGGGGGGGGCGGTGCAGGGGGGGGGGGACAGAGGTGCTCGGGGCTAGAGGCCGGTGGCAGCGGTGCCGTGAGCACTGACGTCACAATGCGAGCTTTCCTCTTGGCACTCGACGCTTCTGTTTCGGCGTTAGTTTTCGCGTGCGGTGAGCCAAGGGCTCCCTGCACAGCCCACTTTGCTTAGCCAATCGACTGCTGGATAACGGTCTCCCACCACCACCACCACCCTCCCCCAAACTCCCACCCCAGGGTTATTTCGATCGTACGTCACCACGCCGGTCAGCAGTGTGTGGGCAGCCCGTCCTAAAGAATCTTAGCCCGGGCTCGAACCCGCTTAGCTTCCGAGATCCGACGAGGTCGGGGGACGCGTTGCGGGCAATTTGGTCACGGGCGCCGTTGCCTAGGTTACCTAGGTTACGCGTTACCTACGTGTGTCTTCACACGTGGGGAGACCTTGGTCCGGCAGCGGGTTTGGCAAAGTGGCCGCCGTAACCCTCCTCCTGCTGCGTACGTCGGAGTAGCAGGGCATTGCGGGGACACGCACAGGGGGCGGGAGCATCGCCGGCTCGGCCGTGGCTCTTCACGGGGGTCAGGCTCGATGCCGTTCGGCCGAGGCTCGGCTCAGGCTAGGCTCGACGGACATCCAGAGCGCGCGGCCGGGACCATTTGCTCGGAGCCGGCTCGAGTTGCTTAACGTGGATCGGAGCCGGCTCACCCGAGCCTCCGTAGACGCCCTAGACGGGCGATGAGCGCGGAGGGCTGGGATTTTGAGAAGCTGGCCTCTAGGGGCGTGAGCGTGTTGCACCCTGGTGGAGGTTGGGGTGTGTGCGCTTTTGACATTTCACGTGGCTTCAGTGTGCACCTAGCTTGGCACAAACGCTATGAAATCGCCGCCACTTAGGTGGCAAATGGCGGCTGCTTGGTGTGTGCGCGTGCTTTGGGTCGGAATGGGCTGGGCGCACACCCCCTTACCCTCTGTGTGCCACACTGGGCATCACGTGTGTGCGTGTTCACGTGTGTGTGCGTGCACGTCTTTGTGTGTTCATGTGTGCGCGTGCGTTCACGCGGTGGCACAGTGGTCAACGCCACTGTGCCACGAACCCAGCAACCCAAATGTACATTTCCGCTCACGGCCAACAACATTGGCAAATGTCTGAGCCTGTGCAGGCTACGGCGGTGGGGGAGGGGACCTTAACCTTTGTGTTCAGGTCCACTCGCGTCTGATCACAGCGCACGCCGCTCCCTCGCTTGCTATGGGTGTCGTGATTCACCCACCCACGATTCAATCCACTAATTGATTATTATTAATGTTATTCATGATGGTGGTTCAAGGTTAACCTGCATTTTTTTTTCTGTTCGAAGAGAAACGCAAAAGAGCGACGCGCCGCTCCGGAAAGTTTGCGGAGGCGGATTGAGGCAACACCTGGCAGCTCCGGTGTGAAATCACGTGTCGGCCACGCAAGGCAGTCTGGGTATTTAAAAAATGGCAGCGAAACGGTGGCACTGTCGGGGATGGGGGGGGGGGGGGCAGCAGATGTTGTGCGACGAAGCCTCCGGGGGGAAAAGGGAAAAAAGTGAAAGCGGCTGAGATTTACGGGAGGGTAGAGCCGTGCGGTTTGGCGATGCGCATCTTCTGGCACGCGGAGGCGAGTTCGAGTGCCACAAACCGTTTAGGGATGGGGCGAGAGTCGGTGGGAAGCGAGGAGGAGAATGTTGCAGCTACGCAAATGACCTTAAGGATGATTCTACGCTGCTGGCGTTACGGAGTTGACGCCAACAACCGCCGGGTGAGGCAAAACGCGTTGCAAATGGCCAAAAAAAATTGTAAGTCTGAAAATAAAAGTGCAGCTTAACCTCGAAACCTCCTTCGCACGAATAAGGGGCGCGTTGATTCTCACGCAAGCGGTTCCACGTCCCTCGAGGGAATGCACGCGAGCCGAGTTCGGCTCCCCGGCCACGGCCGACACCGGTGGTGGGCGAACGTGCGAAAGCAGTGTTTGGTCTCCCGTAAATCGACTTGTGTGAAATGAGTCCGCTGCTGTGACGTGTTGCCTACATCGGCGGCCCCGGGTAAGACGGGGGGCGGGGGGGGGGGGGGCGGCGACACTACCCACCGCCTCGTGTGCCACCCCGGCCTTCGTAGGCGCTCGCTTTGCGGCGCTTGGTGCAAGCGGTCCGAATAATTTGTGCGGGGGATATTTATCGCGTGCGTGCGTGCCTGCGTGCGTGCAGGCCATGCGCTCGCCATCCCTGGTGAGCCTGCCGGCGCTAATGGAGAAGCCCAGGCACCACACCATCAGCCAGTCGACCGCCCGTCTGCTGTGAACACCGCCACCATCATCATCACCCTCACCTCGTCAGCCGGCAGGGGGGAGAAGGCTGTTTCCTCGTCACTGCAGACCTCGCCGCCGCCGTCACCGTGGACCCACCGCCCCCGTGCCGCCCGCAAGCGACGCCGCCGCCCGGCGCCCCGCCACGGACACTGGCACAGCGGCCGCCCTCCAGAATCCGGGGGTGCCCTGCGCCACGGCCCTTACCCCCCCCCCACCGCTGGCACAGATTCACGAGGGTCTGTCTCAGCGGATAGCGGGGATGGCAGGCAGGGGGGAGGGTGCTCGCACACTAAGAGCCACTGACTTTTGGGAAGGGGGGGGGCCCACTCCCCAACGTCTTCCTCCACACTTCCTTCACGGGGATTGGGAGGCCCCCCCCCCAACACGAGTAGCATCCAACCGTCAACAACGCTTGGACCACCGCCCCCTCGCGCTCTCCCCAGCACCCCCCACGTCACCCCCAGTGTGCAGATCGGGCCGTCGCTTGGTCCCGCAATACCTGGCCCCCGCCCCTCCCCCCACCCACTCCCTGGACCTCGGGCGGTTCTCGTTGACTCTGCGACCTCCATTGATCCGCATCGATCCCCGTTCCGGTCCGCGGCCGCCGCGGCCGCAGTGGAACCTGGGGACTGGCCGCTGTCGGCTCCTGGCTCCCGCTCGCGGGCACCGAACGCGCCGCACGGCTCTGCGCGGCCCCGTGCCTCTGGGTCGCGACCCCGGGACGGCCTCTTGATCCACAATTTCGTCGGTTGTTGCGCGCCGCTGACGGGGCCGCGTCGCGAGCGACGAGCGTTCGTCTCGGCACGTCGCGGGTGGTTTTTATTTTCTTCAGCGGCGGGGACTGGTGCGACCGTGGATTCGGGGCGGTCTCTTCTGGGAGGGGGGGGGGGGTGGGGGGAGGTGCTGCCCACACCATTCCTGGGGCCTCCAGCTGAGATGGCCCTGCCCTACCCTGCCCATCCTGTCTCTGCCCTGCCAGGCCCTCATCCCACGCCTTGCCCTCTCCTCTGTCGCGATTTCTCCCTGCCCGCTTCTTGCATTCTCTCCTGTGCCTTTGTCGCCCTCCTCTGCCCTGCCCTTTCCTGTTTGGGAGCTGATGGCCTTGGGTACCTGGTCGGGAAAACCCTTCGCACTTCCCCCCCCCCCACCACCACCACCACCAGCTCCCGACGCTCGCAGTTCCCCGATGTTCTTCGACGGCCACCGACATGGGAGTGAATCGAGCGTGTCTGCGGTGGCACCTTCGTGTGAGCACATTCCGTACGCTGAACTTCTTTCGCGCCGCACGCAGACCTCCACCTCCACCGCGGCACGCTTGCCGTCTGATAAGCTGAGCGCGGGGTGGCCTGCGCCTTAAGTAAACTGGCTCTGATGAGCACAAGGGAGACGCGGCGGGTACGCCTCACGTCTCACGTTCGATGCCCCCTTCCGTGACGGGGCTGGCCGCCGTGTGCAATGCTTTCTGGGTGAGTTCTGAACGGTTATACAGGTGGGGGGGGGGGGGGGGGGGGGCCCGCTAATTTTCTAGATGCGGGGGGTGGTCAGCTCCTACCCTCCCCCCTCTTATTTTCTCACAACCCCCCCCCCCCCACACAACCTTTGCCATTACCCCGAAAGGGGCCACGGGCTCTTTGGTTTGTCTGAGAGTTCTCCAGGGACTCTCCCACCCAGTGAGTGCTGAGGGCCACGATGGCACACACAGCCCCGGTCAACAACTCGATGTTTATATTAATATTTGCGTAGCGCACGTAGACGAATAATCATTGTTATTATTATTGTTGCGTACGTTGGGAATTGAATTTAACCCTGCATCAATAAACTTTGTTGTACGACCCTGTACACCACACGCCTGACCCCCCACGCCTGTTTCGTCTCCCAGCGCAGGACGAGACCAAAGGTATCAATTGACGCTGGCTGGGCAATTGATGTTTGTTGTTGTTGGGGGGGGGGGGAGATTTATTTATTTAAACGCATTTGCTGAGCCACAGACCCCCGATTGGTCCAAAGCGTCGAGCGGTCAGCGACAAACAGCACCGTTTCTCGGTTGCACTCGATTCGAGTTGTGACGCGTTTCTCCTGAATTGAGCCACGGCTGCTGTTGTTGTTTTGTTTGGAGTTCGGGCGAAAAGAGACGACGGTGGTGGTGGCAGGGGGAATCCAAAGTGGAGCAGTGAGGCCAACTGAACAGGTTCAGGGCCTCCCCTAGGTCGACTCGACCTTAAATAAGTACCTGGCGTGCCGTGTACACATCGGCACAGGTGGTGATGGCTACCCACCCTTGTGGATATGGATCGCCATTAGGATTTAGGTTTTTTTTTACAAACAGGTTTTTTAGATCCAGGGTATAAAGCCAGAGTTTAGAGGCAGGGTTTAGAGTTAGGGTTTATAACCAAGGTTCCGATCCAGGGTTTTATTCCAAGGTTTAAACCATGGTTTAGATCTAAGGTTTAGAACTTGGGTTTTGATTCAGCGTTTACAACCAGGATTTAGAACCAGGGTTTGGAACTATGATTAAATCCAGGGTCGCGGTGGCGTTGTAACAGAGCCCCGATCCCGTCGCGGTGACATTTTCGGTTTTTCGCATCCGGAGCCACCGGACGGGACTGGACAGCTCCACGACAGGGACCGGGCGACGCTGGTGCATCTGCCTCGGTCACAGAAACGGGAGCCGTGGGCCTCGACGTGCGACGCAGAGAAGCAATCCACGTGTGGGGGGGGGGGGGGGGGGGGGTCGTGCAGCGCGCGCGCGTGCGTGCGGAAGATTCGCACGCACGCACGCGCGCGCACAGCTGTGCACCTGAAACAGGTGGATGCCCTACCTGACCTCAGGCAATCCGTCTCCCCACCTCCCTCCCCTCCGCCCTTCATTTCTCCCCCTCCCATCATCCCCCCCTCCCCCTGTGCTCGCCTCCAGCTCCCATCTCCCTCCCCTCTCTCGCTTCGTCCCCCCTCCTTCCACATCTCCCTCCGCGCCGTCTTCTCATTTCCCTCCCCTCCGTCTCCTCCCCTGTCTTCTCAATCTACATTCCCTCTCACCCCTCCCTCTCCATCATCTCCTGTCATCCTCCATCTCCCTTCCATCCCCCCCCCCGTCTCCCATCTCTTATCCCCCTTCATTTGCCTTCCCTTCTCCATTCCCCGTCCCCATCCATCACCCTCCACTCCCTCCCCTCTCCTGCCTCCGATTTCCTCGTGCCTACATCCTTCCCCTCTCTCCTTCCATCTCTCTCCTTCATCCCTACATCCCCTCTCTCCTCCATACCCTCTCTCTTTCCTCTCAATCTCTCCCCACAATCATCCCCCCCCTCCATCCCTCCACCCCCCCCTCCACCCCCCATCCCACCCTCCACCCCCCCCCATCCCACCCTCCACCCCCCCCCGCCCTCCCTCCACCCCCCCCTGCCCTCCCTCCACCCCCCCTGCCCTCCCTCCACCCTCCCCTGCCCTCCCTCCACCCCCCTGCCCTCCCTCCACCCCCCTGCCCTCCCTCCACCCCCCTGCCCTCCCTCCACCCCCCCTGCCCTCCCTCCACCCCCCTGCCCTCCCTCCACCCCCCCTGCCCTCCCTCCACCCCCCCTGCCCTCCCTCCACCCCCCCTGCCCTCCCTCCACCCTCCCCTGCCTTCCCTCCACCCTCCCCTGCCTTCCCTCCACCCCCCTGCCCTCCCTCCACCCCCACCCTCCCTCCACCCTCCCTCCCCTCCATCCCTACCCTCCCTCCACCCCCACCCTCCCTCCCCTGCATCCCTCCACCTACCCCTCCTGCCCTCCCTCCACCTACCCCTCCATCCCTCCACCTACCCCTCCATCCCTCCACCTACCCCTCCATCCCTCCACCTACCCCTCCATCCCTCCACCTACCCCTCCATCCCTCCACCTACCCCTCCATCCCTCCACCTACCCCTCCATCCCTCCACCTACCCCTCCATCCCTCCACCTACCCCTCCATCCACCCCTCCATCCCTCCACCTACCCCTCCATCCCTCCACCTACCCCTCCATCCCTCCACCTACCCCTCCATCCCTCCACCTACCCCTCCATCCCTCCACCTACCCCTCCATCCCTCCACCTACCCCTCCATCCCTCCACCTACCCCTCCATCCCTCCACCTACCCCTCCATCCCTCCACCTACCCCTCCCTTCCCTCCTGCATCCCCCCCCTCCCTCCCTCCTGCATCCCCCCCCCTCCCTCCCTCCCCCCCCCTCCCTCCCTCCTGCATCCCCCCCACTCCCTCCCTCCTGCATCCCCCCCTCCCTCCCTCCCTCCTGCATCCCCCCCTCCCTCCCTCCCTCCTGCATCCCCCCCTCCCTCCCTCCTGCATCCCCTCCATCCTCCCTCCTGCATCCCCCTCCCTCCTGCATTCCCTCCATCCTCCCACCTCCCTCACCTCCCACCTCCCTCCATCTCCCCCCCTGTCTGCACCGCGCTCCCTCCCCTCGTCTCATCTGGCTGCGTCTCCTCCGTGCGCCGCATTCCTGCACAGATCGCGAGGCGTACGCAGGCGGCGATTGCTCCGCGTGATTCTCTCTTTCGCCGCCTTTCTCTCGCTCTCTCTCGCCGTGCATCTCTCTGTGAGTCTCTCTCTCTTATTCTCTCTCTCTCTCTCTCGCCGTGCATCTCTCTGTCATTCTCTCTCTCTCTCATTATCTCTCTCTCGCCGTGCATCTCTTTGTGAGTCTCTCTCGCCGTGCATCTCTCTGTCATTCTCTCTCGCCGTGCATCTCTCTGTGAGTCCCTCTCTCTCGCCGTGCATCTCTCTGTGATTCTCTCTCTCTCGCCGTGCATCTCTCTGTGAGTCTCTCTCGCTCTCTCTCGCCGTGCATCTCTCTGTCATTCTCTCTCTCGCTCTCTCTCGCCGTGCATCTCTCTGTGAGTCTCTCTCTCGCCGTGCATCTCTCTGTGAGTCTCTCTCTCGCCGTGCATCTCTGTGAGTCTTTCTTTCTCTCTCGCCGTGCATCTCTCTGCGATTCTCGCGCTCGCTGCGATTCCCTCTCGCTTCGCGATTCGCGTGGCGGGCGATGGACGCTCGCCGCGGACGCGCCGAGGCCGTGAATTGAGTTTCTGAAAATCCTCCTCGTCCGGGCTTCCTCCTCGTCCGGGCTTCCTCCTCATCCCTGCGCATCCTGCGGGCGGAAAATCCCCGCGCGCGTCGTGGTGGTGGTGCTGCTGCTGCTGGCGGCGTGAGGAGGAGGAGAGGGGGGGGGGGCTCTAACCCGGGGGGGATCTCAGGGGGGGGGGGGGCGATTCTCCCCGCTCGGCTCTTCTTGCGCGCGAGGACTCCACCGCCAGCCACCGCCGCCGCCGCATCAACAGAACGGTGAGAGAGGTGGGGCGGAGGGGGTAGCAGATGGGGAGAGTTCAGGGGGTGTGTGGGGGGGGGGGCAAGACCCCCACCGCTTTACGTTGGGCTCTTGATCCCCCCGCTGGGGACCCACGCCCCCCTGATCCCCGGTCGCGTCCGTGGGAGCGGCTGGGGTTCGCGATGTTCTCTACCTGTGTGTGTGTAGCTGTGTGGTGTGTGAGTGTGTCTGTCTGTGTGTATCTGTGTGTCTGTCTGTGTGTATCTGTGGCTGTCTGTGTGTGTGGCTGTCTGTGTGGCTGTCTGTTTGCGTGGGTGTCTGTGTGTGTGGCTGTCTGTGTTCGTGGCTGTGTGTCTGTGTTCGTGGCTGTGTGTGTGTATCTGTGTGTGTGTGGCTGTGTGTGTCTGTGGTGGGGAGCGGTCGTGTAGCGGTCAGCGCCCGCTGCAATACGAACCCGGCGACCCGGGTTCGATTCACGGCCAACGCCGGTGACGATTATCTGAACCGGTTCCGGGCCTCCCCATGGTCGACTCGGCCTCAAATGAGTACCTGGTGCGACGTGTAAACATCGCCACTAGGGGAGACAAAGGCGGCCGGGCGTGGTGCTGGCCACCCACCCCCTCGTGTGCCGTGCCGGCCTTCACAGGTGCTGCTGCTACTCGCTCACAGCACTTGCCCCTACAGTGTGTTACAGGCTACCCGGGGGACCTTTGTGTGTTGTGGGGGAGCGGTAACGAAGTGGTCAGCGCGCCTTGCGACCCGAGTCCGGTGTCTCGCGAACCGCTACCGACGCCGGTGACGATTATATTGTCCGATTCGGTACCTGGGCCTCCCCTAGGTCGACTCAGCCTCGAATGAGTACCCGGTGCGACGTGTAGCAACTAGGGAGATAAAGGCGGCCGGGCGTGGTGCTGCCCTCCCTCCTAGGTGCCTTGTCGGCCTTCTTTCACAATACTTGCCCCGACAGTCTGATAAGGCTGTACGGGGGGGATCTTTGTGTGCTGGTGGTGATGGTGGTGGTGATGGGGGGGGGGGGGTTCGTGTTTGGTTGTTTTTGTTGTTGGTCTGAGATTGGGGGGGGGGCAGTGGGGGGCACCATCACTCGGGACGTGGCTATGGGTCGCAGAGCGTGGGGGGGGGGGGGGCAGACCTTGACGTGGAGAGCTGAGGAGAGAGACGAGGTGAGGAGAGAGACGAGGTGAGCGGGGTGAGGAGAGAGACGAGGTGAGCGGGGTGAGGAGAGAGACGAGGTGAGCGGGGTGAGGAGAGAGACGAGGTGAGGAGAGAGACGAGGTGAGCGGGGTGAGGAGAGAGACGAGGTGAGCGGGGTGAGAGAGACGAGGTGAGCGGGGTGAGGAGAGAGACGAGGTGAGGAGAGAGACGAGGTGAGCGGGGTGAGGAGAGAGACGAGGTGAGCGGGGTGAGGAGGGTGAGGAGAGATACGAGGTGAGGAGAGAGACGAAGAGAGAGACGAGGTGAGGAGAGAGACGAGGTGAGCGGGATGAGGAGAGACGAGGTGAGCGGGGTGAGGAGAGATACGAGGTGAGCGGGGTGAGGAGAAAGACGAGGTGAGCGGGGTGAGGAGAGATACGAGGTGAGCGGGGTGAGGAGGATGAGGAGAGAGACGAGGTGAGGAGAGAGACGAGGTGAGGAGAGAGACGAGGTGAGGAAAGAGACGAGGTGAGAGAGACGAAGAGAGAGACGAGGTGAGCGGGGTGAGGAGAGAGACGAGGTGAGCGGGGTGAGGAGAGATACGAGGTGAGCGGGGTGAGGAGGATGAGGAGAGAAACGAGGTGAAGAGAGAGACGAGGTGAGGAGAGAGACGAGGTGAGGAGAGAGACGAGGTGAGGAAAGAGACGAGGTGAGGAGAGAGACGAAGAGAGAGACGAGGTGAGGAGAGAGACGAGGTGTAAGGGGATATGTGTGACGAGGGGGACGCGGTATGAGGGGACGCGATGTTGGTGAGGTGTGGAATGGGGGTGAGGGGAGACGAGAGGGAGACGCGGTGAGCAACAAGAGGTTGACTTGGTGTGGATGGGCGGAGATGCGGTGAGGAGGGAGACATGGTGAGGTGGAGGGAGACATGGTGAGGAGGAGGGAGACATGGTGAGGTGGAGGGAGACATGGTGAGGAGGAGGGAGACATGGTGAGGTGGATGGAGACATGGTGAGGTGGAGGGAGACATGGTGAGGTGGAGGGAGACATGGTGAGGAGGAGGGAGACATGGTGAGGTGGAGGGAGACATGGTGAGGTGGAGGGAGACATGGTGAGGAGGGAGACATGGTGAGGAGGAGGGAGACATGGTGAGGTGGAGGGAGACATGGTGAGGAGGAGGGAGACATGGTGAGGAGGAGGGAGACATGGTGAGGTGGAGGGAGACATGGTGAGGTGGAGGGAGACATGGTGAGGTGGAGGGAGACATGGTGAGGAGGGAGACATGGTGAGGAGGAGGGAGACATGGTGAGGTGGAGGGAGACATGGTGAGGAGGAGGGAGACATGGTGAGGTGGAGGGAGACATGGTGAGGTGGATGGAGACATGGTGAGGTGGAGGGAGACATGGTGAGGTGGAGGGAGACATGGTGAGGTGGAGGGAGACATGGTGAGGTGGAGGGAGACTTGGTGAGGGGAGACATGGTGAGGTGGAGGGTGACTTGGTGAGGTGGAGGGAGACATGGTGAGGTGGAGGGAGACATGGTGAGGTGGAGGGAGACATGGTGAGGTGGAGGGAGACATGGTGAGGAGGGAGACATGGTGAGGAGGAGGGAGACTTGGTGAGGAGGAGGGAGACATGGTGAGGTGGAGGGAGACTTGGTGAGGAGGAGGGAGACATGGTGAGGTGGAGGGAGACATGGTGAGGTGGAGGGTGACTTGGTGAGGTGGAGGGAGACATGGTGAGGTGGAGGGAGACATGGTGAGGTGGAGGGTGACTTGGTGAGGTGGATGGAGACATGGTGAGGTGGAGGGAGACATGGTGAGGTGGAGGGAGACATGGTGAGGTGGAGGGAGACATGGTGAGGTGGAGGGAGACATGGTGAGGAGGAGACGGTGAGGTGGAGGGAGACATGGTGAGGTGGAGGGAGACATGGTGAGGAGGAGGGAGACGGTGAGGTGGAGGGAGACATGGTGAGGAGGAGGGAGACATGGTGAGGTGGAGGGAGACTTGGTGAGGTGGAGGGAGACTTGGTGAGGTGGAGGGAGACTTGGTGAGGGGAGACCCGGTGAGGAGGGAGACATGGTGAGGTGGAGGGAGACATGGTGAGGTGGAGGGAGACATGGTGAGGTGGAGGGTGACTTGGTGAGGTGGAGGGTGACTTGGTGAGGTGGAGGGAGACTTGGTGAGGTGGAGGGAGACTTGGTGAGGTGGAGGGTGACTTGGTGAGGTGGAGGGAGACATGGTGAGGTGGAGGGAGACTTCGTGAGGTGGAGGGAGACTTGGTGAGGTGGAGGAAGACTTGGTGAGGTGGAGGGAGACTTGGTGAGGTGGAGGGAGACATGGTGAGGTGGAGGGTGAGGCACGGTGTGGGTGAGTGAGACCCGGTGAACAGGAGAGGGGAGACCCGGTTTGTGAGGGAGACATGGTGAGGAGGAGGGAGACGCGGTGAGGTGGAGGAGGAGGGAGACGCGGTGAGGTGGAGGAGGAGGAGGAGGAGGGAGACGCGGTGTGTGAGGGAAACGGGACGTGCTTAGAATGGAGACGCAGCCCTGGGCGCTGCAGATTCCGCGGGTAAAGCGCGGAGAGAGAGAGAGAGCCCCCCTCCACTCGCTCTTCACCGTCATCATCAGCATCCAACGCTTCCATCATCAGCCAATAAAGCATCAGCCATGATCAATCCACTGCTGGATGAAGGCCTCCTCCCCAAGCCGCCGCTCACGATCCTGCGATGTACCGATCCGACCGCCGGCCGATGCTCTGCACAGCGATGGGCTGATGTCGTTATCGCTCCGTCTCCACGTTGGACGAGCTGCTGTAGAACGCGTTCCATTGCTTGGCTAAACATCGCCAGCCATTCCCCAATGCGAAAATTTTAATAAATAAAATATTACATCTATCGGTCGGTCAGCTTAACATACTGATTCGTCATCATAATCATCATCATCATCGAACAAGTCATCATAATCAGCAGCAGCATAATCAATAATTTCTAAAAACATTTATCGAGATCCAGCATCAAATCATCGAGCTGTCTACCAGAGATCATCAACATCATCAACATAATCATGAACCGCATTATTCACTGTCATCTGATTCGGGGTTCATTATCAGTATTGTCATCAACATTATTGTTATTATCGTCATCAGTATTGTCGTCATCATTATTATCATGAACATTATCTTGGTTCTTTCGGTAAAGTCACGTAGAAGGGAAACAATAAAATAATAAAAATATAAAACGACTTCAACACAAGCAATCATCATCAGGTGTGAAAACCATTATCAGTATGATTGCTTGTGTTGCAGTCGAAACGTTGTGACAGTTTTATTGTTTTATATTTTTATTATTTTATTGTTTCCCTTCTACGTGACTTTACCGAAAGAACCAAGAATATGAATCCCTGCAGTCACGAAAGCTTTAAATCAAAATCATTAACATTATTGTTATTATCGTCATTATCAGTATTATCGTCATCATTATTGTCATCAACATTATTGTTATTATCGTCATTATCAGTATTGTCATCATTATTATCATCAACATTATTGTTATTATCGTCATTATCAGTATTGTCATCATTATTGTCATCAACATTATTGTTTATTATAGTCATCAGTATTGTCGTCATCATTATTGTCATCAACATTATTGTTATTATCGTCATTATCAGTATTGTCGTCATCATTATTGTCATCAACATTATTGTTATTTTCGTCATTATCAGTATTGTCGTCATCATTATTGTCATCAACATTATTGTTATTATCGTCATTATCAGTATTGTCACCATTATTGTCATCAACATTATTGTTATTATCGTCATTATCAGTATTGTCGTCATCATTATTGTCATCAACATTAT